CCTGACACCACAGCCGTGCTCCCAACCCAGAGCCCCCTGACCAGAGATCTCCTCTCTGTGGTAAGTGGGCCCTGGACTCAATGGGCAGTAGGCAAACTTTTATGGGTACGGGCGTGGGGCTCGAACCCACAAGGGTGAGATCACGACCTGAGCCAAAGTTGTAGATGGTTCTGAGACCTGAGAGGGACAGAGGATGTTGGCCGCACAGTGTGAGCAGGGGGTGGGGGGTGGTGGGCAACATTCTGCGGGAATTCCTGAATTTTCTTCTGGGCTCTCAGCTGGGAATTGAGCTGGAAAAGGACACCCTTTTTTGAAAGGTTTCCAATATGGGTAACAGATGAGCACAACGGCATTTACAGGTAGCACTTTCTGGGCACCAACAATTTGCAAGGTATTGTCCTAAGCACTTTCTGTGTGTTTACTGCCATGACAACCCAATGACGCAGGAACCATGAGTGTTTTCAAGGAGAGTGAAGCCCAAAGAGATTCCCTAAGGCACTGAAGATCCCGTGGTTCCACGATGGTGGGGCTGGGATTCTGGAACCTCATGAAATCCTCTTTCTTGAGTTCTGTCTTCCTCCACCCCCCTACCTCCCCCCCCCACCCCGTCTCTGAGCTGCGTCCATCCTGCCTGTGAGGTCACCGATGCCACAGCCCCAGGAACAGCTTCCGTCTGCCTTGGCACAGGGGTGGCCACCAGTCGCCCCAGGGGCGGCGGCCCCAGTTGGGATGACTACACCGTACTTCTCAGTGCTGGAGACCAAGCCAGTCCTTTTGACCACATCAGTAGCTTCACTTCCTAGTCCTGAAATTTAGAGAAACGCCATATTGAGGCGCCGTACTGGCGATGTCTCCCCCGCCTCCTCTCTGGATTGTTAACTCCACGGTGCAGGCAGCTTTTTGTGGGACCCGAAGCCTCCGCTCATTCACCTGGATGGCAGCACAGGTGGGGAAGCAATACCCACCTGGAAAACTGAGATGGCCCGGGGGCTGCTGGGAGCTCTGCCAACCTACTGTCTTTAAGATACTCCAGCACAGACATGAAGGAAATGGAAATTATTTTTACTTACATTCTGGGGGCACTTAGTCAACCACCTGGCAGATGAGGAAGATACAGGGCAGGAAGGATACAGGATACAGGAAGATACAGATACTTAGCATTTGAAAGATTCTAATCAGAAACCCGTACTCCATACTTCAAGATTTGGCTAGCTAGAATCAACACTAGTTTGATCTAGAACACTAGATGAAGAATCAACACTAGTGAGGGGCCCCTGGGTGGCTCAGTGGTTGAGCAACGAAGCGATCAACTCTTGACTTTGGCTCAGGTCGTGATCCCAGGGTGGCGAGATCGAGCCCTGAGTCTGGCTTTGCACTGAGCATGGAGTGATTGCCTCTTTCTCTCTCTCTGTCCCACCCACCCTCGCGCTCTTGCTCTCTTGAAAAAAAATCAACACTGATAAAGCCCACGGATGACTTTTTAAAAAGTGATTTTCCAATCATGAACTGGCCGGACTGTCAGAGGTGTGGGTTGGCTTAGAAATATTGCATGGGTACCTCTGTCCCTGGACTCAGGATTCTGAGCTTGTTTTTTGTTTGCTTGTTTAGATGCTTTCATGGGGTTTTGTCACCTGGCTCTGACGAGCAAGTTCTCTGAATCTGCCTTCGGAATATTGTTACTTCCGCCCTGAGGGAAGCCTTCATGCAATTCTGTAAAAATCATTCCTGATGTTCTGAAGTTTATTTGGCATCGTTAAATCATGGGACTAACACCTGAAACTCTTCCCCACCGCGGGAAGGCTGCATTTTCACCAACACACGAGAATCTGATGACGACTCCAACAGCCGCATCCTCAACGTCTGTGTCTCGCCTCCTGCCCAACGGGGTGTTGTTCCCGCCTAACCGCTTCTCCCCACTATAGCGATAAAGGCTCGTGTCCATCTTTCCCCTTGTTCCTTCTGCCTCCCGACCGCCCCTGGGGCTCCAGCATGTGGCCCTGCATGGTGGACATGCCTTCTCGGGAATTGTAGGTAACACAGTTTCTCTTAAAGGCGGCTGTGTCTGTGGCTGCCATCTTACCATATCTTTAAAAATTTTTTTTTTCAACGTTTATTTATTTTTGGGACAGAGAGAGACAGAGCATGAACGGGGGAGGGTCAGAGAGAGAGGGAGACACAGAATCGGAAACAGGCTCCAGGCTCTGAGCCATCAGCCCAGAGCCTGATGCGAGCCTGACGCGGGGCTCGAACTCCCGGACCGCGAGATCGTGACCTGGTTGAAGTCGGACGCTTAACCGACTGCGCCACCCAGGCGCCCCATCTTACCATATCTTTAAAAAAGAATTTTTTTTTTTACATTTATTTGTTTTTGAGAGGCAGAGAGACAGAGCACAAGTGGGGAGGGGCAGAGAGAGAAGGAGACAGAATCCAAAGCAGGCTCCAGGCTCCGAGCACTGCGCACAGAGCCCAACGCGGGGCTCGAACTCACGAACCGTGAGATCATGTCCTGAGCCGAAGTGGGACGCTCAACCGGCTGAGCCACCCGGGGGCTGCTGCCATCTTGTCATATTTGATGAGAACGAGTCTTGCACGTGTTTCAGAACAAATGCAAGGCGTGGGCATCTGAAAAAACAAAAAATACAGAGAGAGCCGAGAGCTGGCAAATTCGGTTTTACGACCGTTCTCGCCCCTGCTTGCTAACACAAGTGTGAATGGGCACAGGAAGTCTGCCAAGGCCAGCTTTCACTGTCATGGGCCACCCGGGGGTGAGGCTGCGGGGAAGGAGGCTGGCCTCCCTCCGCCACCCTGACTACTGGGGTTTCCTGATGGTCACAGAGCTAGAAGTTGGGCACGGCAGATGCGTCTTTCCCCGGTTCCTCACGCTTGCCACTTCCTGCGTGCATGTGCGCGGAGTCGGGTCCTCCCCAGGTGCTCCTCAGAGGACAGCATCGGTGGCTCAGTACCGTGGTTTTGTGGGCAGAGCCCTGTGCGTGTGGCAGGGTTCGGTACAGGCAGCATGGTGGAAGCCAGTGCGGGAGTCCCCGGTAGGAAGATATTTAGAATATTCTCCACCACGAGAACTGGGCTTTGGTCCCGGTTCTCGTGCAGCCCAGGGAGGCCCTGTGGTTAATTATTTCCGCTCTCTGTTCTCCTGTTTCTTCTCCTGTGGGAGTGTGGAGGTAGGGGGTTCCCCCGGAGCTTCTCTCTGGCTATCCGGCATAGCCCCCTTCTGTCTTGTCTCTTCCTGTGTAAAAGGGCTCAGAAAAGCCAGTGTGAGGGCCCTGGCATGCTGAGGTCGTGTGAGGCGCCAGTCCTCCCCCCCCCCCCCCCCAAAAAAGAAGTCTCTGGATCTGATGGGCATGGGGGTTCCAGGAGAGGCTGCAGGAGAGACCCTTGGTGACGAAAGGTGAGGTAGAAGGACCCAGAACAGCCTGTCCGGAGGAAAGCAGGGAAGGATTGAAAGGTTGTTTCGGCCTGGAGCTGCTGTGGCCCATTGCCCCACATGAGGCTTTCGGGACTCAGAGTAAGAGAGCCTGGTCGCTGTCTCCAGGAGCCAGCAAGGAGGAGGCTGAACACCCTGAGGGCTGTGTGCGTGTGTGTGTGTGTGTGTGTGTGTGCACGCATGCGTGACAGCGTTAGAGCCAAGAAGGCAGCCAGCCCTGACAAAGCTTGGCTGGAGAGCCATGGCACCCACTCAAGAGAGGTCATCATACCCAGACACTAGCCTTCCAACCTCTTGTCTGAGACACTCAAGCGGTTTAGTGGAACGGCCCCCCCCCACACCCAGACCTCTATCCTCGGCCAGCAACGCTGACGTCTCTATACCTCTCCGACCTCGGTTCTACCATGCCAGTCACAAGGACCTCTTTCTGCCCCAGCATGCCTACGCATTGTTGACTCAGGCTTTGTGCTCACAGAAGCACTTCCTCTGCTCTGCTCCCCTCTTGCAGTCACCCTATGCTCTGCCTTCACAGCCTCCATCGTTCTTTTTTTATCAAAAAAAAATTTTTAATGTTTATTTATTTCTGAGAGAGAGAGAGAGAGAGAGAGAGCATGAGCAGAGGAGGGGCAGACAGAGAGGGAGACACAGAATCCGAAGCAGGCTCCAGGCTCCCAGCTGTCGGCACAGAGCCCGACGCGGGGCTCGAACCCATGGACCGCAAGATCATGACCTGAGCTAAAGTCGGATGCTTAACCGACTGAGCCACCCGGAAGCCTCCATGGTTTGTTTATTTATAGGTTTGGTTACATGTTTTGGCTGTGGACTGTCACCCCCGTCTAGGCCCAGGAGTCCAGGGACCTTGTCTGTCTGATTCACTCCTAGCGCGTATTAGGCCCTCAGTGAGTTTTTGTTGAAATGGATGAATGAATCCACCCAGCCACTGAACTATCACACTGGGAGTTAGCGGATAAACCATTATCAGATTAGGGCCCCGAGGGCATGCGGGAGCAGTGTTCTTGGCTGAATTCACGCTTTAGACTTGTTGAGTTTATTACTTTAATTTTTCTTTTTTTTTTTTTTTTTCAACGTTTATTTATTTTTGGGACAGAGAGAGACAGAGCATGAACGGGCGAGGGGCAGAGAGAGAGGGAGACACAGAATCGGAAACAGGCTCCAGGCTCTGAGCCATCAGTCCAGAGCCCGACGCGGGGCTCGAACTCACGGACCGTGAGATCGTGACCTGGTTGAAGTCGGACGCTTAACCGACTGCGCCACCCAGGCGCCCCTACTTTAATTTTTCAACAAAGGTGACTGACCTGCATATTTCCATGCCCAGGGGCTCCGAGGAATGGGAATATGCCAACCAGAAACACCCATGAAGCTAGTTACCTGGCGGGATTTGTAGAGCACTGATTGGGGGTTGATAAGCTTTGGTTTGAGGCCCCAATCTCTGCGGATCTGATGACTGAGCCTTAAAAGCGGCATCCCCCAAGAAAATCTGCCAGGGTCAAATGGACCCTGAGAGCGGGAGGGGACACGTCCTAAAGTCACACCGGGAGCATCATACAACGTGGTTTATTTCCTGGACATTTTCAACCTGTACGCAGCCAGCAGGATAGTTCCACCTAGGATTTAGTCGGATTTTCAACTTTCCCTAGGAAGAGAATGGCCTCTGTGGCTTTGTTTATCAGCAGCAGCAGGAAGGACCTATTGAAGCGGATGACGGTGTAAGAGGGGCTGTCCTTTGACCGGACTATGAGCTTGGTGGCGGTGGCTGCTGAGGCCTCGGTCCCCTCCTCGCTGACGTCCAGCACAGCCTTGTGGGCAACCTGCCAGGGAAAAAACAAACGTCAGTGGTCCCCGGGGGAGGGGCACCTTTACTTAACTGAGCTTTGGGGTTCTGCCTGGGAATGGCGATGCCACGCCTCGAGGGGCTTCAACCTTATTATGCCAGGTGCCTGGCATTAGGTTTGCAGCTGTCATTGGTACCGGTCCACTGGTCTTTAAGCGTGGAGTTGAGTGGTTACAAATTCACACCAGAAATGACCCAGGTTTGACTCCCAGTTCTGCCACTTATTGTTGCAAAAGATATTTAGATGCTGCAGGCTTCACTCTCCAAATCTCTGGAAGGGTCATCATAATGGTGTATATCCCACAAGGTCATTGGGTGAATTAAAGGAGATCACACAAAGTATGTGTGCGGGAGTGTTGCTACATGCGTGCCCTGGAGACATAAGGAGGTGTTATTAAGTGCTGGATCCCTTCTGGGTCTCCTAGGAAAGAGACTTACCCTGGGGCTCATGTTCTCCCAAGCTTCAGGGGGGCCTGAGGACTCCCAACAATGACAGTCATTATTGTTCAGATGTGCCCATGAACACGTAATGGGAAAAGGACCATCACGCCCACCGTATTCCATCGGGACCTCCGTAATCTTTCCCCGGACGCCAATGACAAAGCTCCCCTTCCATGACCCAGGGACACTTCTGACCATTATTTGTATTATCAAAATACACTTTTAAGTTGGGGATCAGAAACCCATGAGCAGACAAGGACTAGACAGGGAGACCTCTTGTCAGAGCAGGGAGCCCACAGGGGACCTGGAGGGTGCACCCTCACTAAAAGGGACACTCACAGCTCAGCTCCGGCTGATGGGTGCTATTGTAGGGCATTGGGCTCACTGTTGCCATGCGGGAATTGGACTCAGAGATTTGTTTCAAGACGGTCAGAAATCTATAATTTCAGGTACAATATCCTACATGATGGAAGTTGGCTCTCTTTCTTTTTAATACCAGAGGTCACACACAACCCATCTACAGGGTAGTAATGGCCCATGGGCAGCCAATTTGACTGCAGTGTGAAGTCCCAGGCTTCAGGGGCGAGGTCGAATGCCAGGGGGCATCTGCTTATCTGCATGGGTATCGAGGCAGCAGAGTTGCTTTCCCCAGACAGGACTGATTTTCACAGAACTGTGTGGTTGGACCTTAGGAACACTTGTTTGAAGAGGGATAAAAGTTGCCTGTGTATCAGAGGTATGATGGTCGTAAAGCCACAGACAGGCCTGGCAGCCATGAAATTCGGCCCAACTTCTGCCCCAGAGAAGTCACTGTGCCTCTCAGGGTCTGCGTTTCCTTATCAGTGAGATGTGAGAGCTCGATTAGCCAGGTACTGTAAACTCTTCCTGCTCTCCCTGCCCAGGCAAATGTTCTCGTGGACCAACTCACTTTGGAAAGCTGCAGGAAGTCTGTCTTTGTGATTCCAGAAAAATCAGCATTATTATTAAAGGCATCCCAGATGCCCATCTTCGGGAGGATGGTTTCCAGGTCATAGGAGGCAGAAATGGAAAATTTCGGAATGAACACCTCTATCCACCTGCAGAGATGGAGAAAAGGAAAAAGTGAGGTCATGAGCCCCTTGCTCTCTATCTCTGCTTCTAGGTGGCATTTCGGGAGACTCTGTTCTTCCTCTAGGTATTGCTGGCTGCTGCTGAAGTAGTCAATACATCCCAGACAACCAACCCAGGTTGCTCTGGAGGTAAAGCCCCCTATCTAGGGGCAAGTCTGGCCCTGGAGATAAATGAGATGAAAGGGAGGGCCCTAATGAAGGAAGGTACAGAGAATACACGGGGATCCAGCAAGGGAGCCTATGGCAGAAACCAATGGGGGACACCAGGCAGTGATGGAAGTGTGTCTGCCGTCCCTGGCCCAGCACATCCCCCACCCCCAGCCCCTCCTGAGACAAACTCTGCTAACCCCTGAGAGCAGCAGAGTCCAACAGAACTTTCTGCAAGGGTGGACATAGTCTCTATTTGTGCTGTTCCACATTTTAGCCATTAGCCATGCATGGTTATACTGAACAGCTTAAATGTGGCTAGTGCCAGTGAGGAAAACATTTTTTTTTTGTTTTACTTATTTTAGTTAACTTAAATTTATATAACTACAGGGGGCTAGTGGCTACTACGTGGGATAACACATCCCTCCAGGTCAACATAAGTTTTTCTTCCTCAGCAATAATTTCCCTGAACCAAGAATGAACAGCCTGCATTTACTGAGCATTTACTATGCGCCAGGCATCGTCCCAGATAATTTTAGTCATTTCCATTTTAAAGATGTCAAAACTTACTTTTAGTGCTTTGCGCAAGGTCATGTACTCGGTGAGTCACAAAACTGAAAGCACAAAAGTGTTGGATGGACACTCAAGTCCTCATTGATGGGCATCAGCACAATGGACAGCTCTCTCTTCCCTCTTGCTTCTCCAGCACCCGCCTGGCCATCTCCTCCCTGAGCTGTCTGCCGCTCTTTATGAACCGCCCCCTGCCCCAGCCTCCCTGCTGCCTCCTCTGTCCAGCCCTGGTTGCAGTCAGAAAAGAGAAGAAACCTCTGAAGGATCCTACAGTGTTCCTTAATTCCCAACTTCACCTCTTTGCCAGGGCTGTTTCCTTTGCCAAAAGCGCCCTGCCTCAGCCTCTATGTCCCATCCATCCCTTCACGTCCTATCTATGCTCCTGACTCCAATGTACCATCTCTTTGAAGCCTTCTTCCGTCTCTGCTAAAAGTGATCTCTCTTTGCTCTGAAGCTCCTTAGCACTTTGCCTGCCTCCCCCTGGGCATTGATCTTTGTCTTTCTCTTGGCCCTGTCTTCTCTCCTCTTGGACTGTGGGCACCTGGGAATGATGCCAAGAATGCCAAGAAAATATTGCTAAGAGATTGTATGTGAGGCCTTGATAGTCCTTTGTATCTTATGGTTAACATCCTCTTGATACTCTCCATAATGGTTACAGAACTAATAATAATCTGGGGTGCCTGGGTGTCTCAGTCAGCTAAGCAAACGACTCTTGATTTCGGCTCAGGTCATGATCCCACAGTCCGTGGGTTCAAGCACCGCGTTGGGCTCTGTCCTGGCAGTGTGGAGCCCGATGCTTTCTCTCTCTCCCTCTCTCACTGCCCCTACCCAGCTCATTCTTTCTCTCTCTCTCTCTCTCAAACTAAATAAATAAACTTAAAACAAAAAATAAAATACAAAACTTGAAAGGGAAAAGGAAAAGAAAGAACTAATCAGCTAAGTACTTTATGCACAGTAACTCGTTTTATCTTTTCCACAACTTATGGGCTCAGTAATATCATGATTCTCATTTTATAGGTGAGCATCAATGCTTTCTTTGCTTATTTATTTTTATGGAATCAGTCCATGGAGTTTAATATTGGATTGGCTGATAGGGTGAGTTCTGCTAGCCATGACGGAAGAGCTTTGCAAGGACATATTAGTTACGTGGCTGTGGGCAATTCACCTCCCTTCTCCGAGCCTCGACTTCCTTACGTGTGGGTGGGGGTGACAGTGCTCCAGTGTTCTTCACCTGTCGGGTGACTGTGAAGTTCAAGTGGGAACACACACACACGGCACCAAGTTCACCATCCAGCGTGCAGCGGCCGCTCAGTTGGCAGGAGCGATTACTCAACAGCTGCCACCCTTGGATGTACGTCCTCATCCCTTGCCCCATGCTTGGGTGTACACCATCACCTGCCCTAGGAGTCTGGAAATGGACACAGATTCCCACCTCTTCCGGAGTAAGAGGCTCCATCGCCTCAGTGTCCTGGCTGACAAGGCCTGTTCCAGCTGCCTCATCTTGCCCTGGCCAGGGAGGACAAAGAAGGCCACGGTGTTGCCACTGTATTCCATCTGTAGTACAGAGCAGCTCAGCTCCGGATCCACCCCAAAAGCAAATTGTTCCACCTGGTGCATCATCGGGACCTTCACAGTGGCCCCCTGGCCCACCAGGAACGGAGAGCTCTTTCTTGTATATCCAGGGTGAAAGGGCTTCTCCCACTTGGCTGGCACAGAGAGAAAAGAGAGGTCTTTGTGTCAAAGTGCTGTCAGCAAAAATGATGAAGTCAGGATCTCTGAAAACTCTCTCCTCCATAAAAGCAATGGGAGAATTGCCAACAATGATCAGAATGAGCTTTCTTAGAACTCTAGAAATTAACCAAACTCTTTCGGCAAATTAGGGAATGGTTTATTCAAGTGAAGCAGCTAAATCTTGGGAAGAAGGTGAACTTTGGGGTATTTTAACTTGCCCTAGTTCCATTCCCCATGTCCTAACTCTTCAGGAGACTTGAACAACAAGAGTGTGCATTTCCAGTGAAATCCAGAAACCTGGCAGCCCCAGGAGGGAAAAAATAGGGCTGGAACCCATTCAAAGACTCAATCCCTAAACACTGTTATTTGACCTATCCTGTGCTTCCCTGGGAGGCATCATTTGCAGAACTGTCTGTACTTGATCTGATTTGGAGCTCAACCAATGCAAAAAACTCTATTCCTCAGAGGAAATTAGTCAAAAGCAGTCACAGGCAGTGATACATTTTGCAGCTGCCAGGGGCAGTAGAGAACACTTGAGGCAAACAATGAACGAGTCAAAAAGGTTAACAGGACAGGCTGGGGATAGGGGTGGGGGGTGACATCTGCAAAAACGACAAGAGTAATGACCTCTGCATTGCCACCCTTCCCTAAAGACAATAAGGAAAACTGGCAAACATATTCAGAAGCAACTTCTTTGGAACTCTGGAAATTAATCAAAGCCTTGTAGCAACCTAGGGAGAGTTGATTCAAGACAAATGGCCGAATTTCAGAAAGAACAGTCAATTTTGTGGTTATTTTAACTTGTGCCAGTCCTGTCCTCTACTCTCTAGCTCAGCAGTAGCCTTGACAAATAGCAGCCTGTGTTCCCACTACCATTGGGAGAGCGATTGACCTGGAGGTCTTTCAAAGTCTCATTTTCGAAGAATTATTATCACTTGACCCGTCGGATAGTTAACTGGAAGATCTCACTTCCAAGGTTGATTGGTGCACAGTCAGTGATCAAAGCCTTCTCCCCAGGGGGCTGGAAGTTTTTTGCTAGAAACAATTACAGACAAACGTTTTAGTTTTATGGTTGCCTGGGTGGGGATAACAGATGGGGCAAACAACAAAGTGATAAAAAATTCTAGAAGGAAAAGCTGAGGCATAAGATGTCCGTTGGAGCTTTGGAAACCTCCATTATATCCTGGGCATTTAGAAGCTTCATGCATGTGTAAAGCTGTGTGCCTATTTGAGAAAACATATGAGAAGGCTGTAAGTTCTCACTTACGGCTGACCTTGAGGGTCTGCAGAGATAGAAAGTGAAGACTGAGTCAGAGTTATAAACTGCCTGGCTGAGTGTTGATGACACATCAGCCCCCCATGCACACAAGAGTCCTCAGCAAAGACTAGGAGATTTGTTTGGTCCAAGCACTTAAGAAATCTCTGCCCAAGGGGGCGCCTGGGTGGCTCCGTAGGTGGAGCGTCCGACTTCGGCTCAGGTCATGATTTCGCAGTCTGTGAGTCTGAGCCCCGCATCGGGCTCTGTGCTGACAGCTCAGAGCCTGGAGCCTGTTTCAGGTTTTGTGTCTCCCTCTCTCTCTGCCCCTCCCGAGCTCATGCTCTGTCTCTCTCTCTCTGTGTCAAAAATAAATAAACATTAAAAAAAATAATAAAAAAAAAAATCTCTGCCCAGTCATAACTAACCACTTGACTAACCAAGAAGACACTTTGGTGGCCACACATGACAAAGTATAGACTTTAAAGAATTAGTTCGGAAAAGGCACTCAAGAAACAACTACTGCAACAAGCAAAAACAACAAATCCTTGGGATGAGGTAAATCTGATTTTCAGAGCTGCAACATTGCATTATTTTAAAAATCCAGCTTTTACAAAAAAATATGAGGCATAAAAAGAAAGTATGGGCCATACACAAGAAAAAGCCAATCTGCTAATATGAGAAATAAAAGAAGGGACACTGAAAAAGATCTTATGGACATTAAAGGAAAATAAAGGAATACTACAAACAACTCTATGCCCACAAATTTGATAACTGAGATGAAATATTCCAATTTTCCAAACCTTAAATAAGAAGAAATAGACAATATGAATAGGTCTATATCTATCAAAGAAATTGGCAATCATTAAAACCTTCCAAAATAGGAAATACCAGGCCCAGATGGATTCACTAGTGAATTCTACCAAACACTTAAGAAAGAAATTATAGGGGCGTCTGGATGGCTCAATTGGTTAAGTGTCTGACTTCGGCTCAGGTCATGATCTCACAGTTTGTGAGTTCGAGCCCCACATCGGACTCTGTGCTGACAGCTCAGAGCCTGGAGCCTGCTTCGAATTCTGTGTCTCCCTCTCTCTCTCCGCACCTCCTCTGCTCATGCTCTGTCTGTCTCTCTCTCTCCTTCAAAAGTAAATAAAAACATTTTAAAAAAGAAAGAAATTATACGAATTCTTTACAATCTCTTTCAGAGGATAGAAGCAGAGAAAATACTTCCTAATTTGTTCTATCAAGCCAGCATTACTTTAATACCAAAGTCAGACAAAGACATTGCAAGAAAACTACAGACCAGTGTCTTTTATGAACACAGATATAAGAATCCTGCACAAAATACTAACAAATCAAATCCGATAATGTATAAAAATAATTATGTGCCACAACCAAATGGGGTTTTTTCCAGGTTTGTAAGGCTGGTTCAACATTTGAAAATAAATTAATACAATCCATCATATCAAGAAGCTAAGCAAGAAAAATTAATCATATGAATAGATGAAGCAAAAGCATTCGACAAAATCCAACACCAGTCATAATAAAAATTCTCAATAAACTAGGAATAAAGGAATAACTTCTTCAATTTGATAAAAAAAAAATAGCTACGAAAAGCCCACAGCTGATATAATACTTAATGGTGAGAAACTCAAAGTTTTCCCACTAAGGTCAGGTGTAATGCAAGGATGTCCCCTCTTGCCACTCCTGTCCAACATTTTACTGGAAGTTCTAGTTGATGCAATAAGATAAGAAAAAAGAAATAGAGTGTATACAGGTTGGGAAAGAAGAAGTAAAACTTTCTTTGTTTGCAGATGACATGATCATCTATGTAGAAAACCCAAGAGTCAACAAACAAAAGAATCCATGGAACTAATGAGGGAGTATAGCAAAGTTGCAGGATACAAGGTTAATATACAAAAGTCAATTGCTTTTCCATATGCCAGCAATGAATAAGTGGAGTTTGAAATTAAAAACATAATACGACTTACATTTGCATCCAAAAAAATACTTAGGTATGAATCTAACAAAATACATGCAAGATCTATATGAAGAAAATTACAAAACTCAGATAATGAAATCAAAGAACTAAATGAATAGAAGGATATTCCATGTTCATGAATACAAAGTCTCAATATTGTTAAGATGTCAATTCTTCCCAACATGATCTATAGATTCAATGCAATCTCAGTCAAAATACTAGCAAGTTATATTATAGATATTAACAAACTAATACTAAAGTTTATATCAAAAGCAAAAGACCCAGAATAGGCAATCCATTACTGAAGAAGAACAAAGTTGCAGCACTCACACTAACCAACTTCAAGACTTACTATAAGGCTGTAGTACTCAAGACAGTGTGGTATTGGTGAAGAATACACAACTAGATCAATGGAACAAAGAGAGAGCTTACAAACAGACCCATGTAAAGATAGCCAACTGATCTTTGACAAAGGATCAAAACCAATATAATAGAGCAAAAATAGTCTTTTCAATAAATGGTGTTGGGACCACTAGCATTTGTATGCAAAGAGAAAAAAAAAGAATCTGGACACGTACTTTACATCGTTCATAAAAAATTAACTCAAAATGGGCCACCTGGGTGGCTCAGTTGGTTGGGCGACCAGCTTCAGTTTAGGTCATGATCTCACAACTCTTGTGAGTTCGAGCCCCGCATCAGGCTCTGCGCTGATAGCTCAGAGCCTGGAGCCTGTTTCAGATTCTGTGTCTCCCTCTCTCTCTGCCCTTCCCCCACTCACACTCTGCCCCTCTCTCTCAGTCAAAAATAAACATTAAAAATTTTTTAAAAAAATTAATTCAAAACGGACCACAGACCTAAACATAAAACACGTAGAAGATAATATAGGAAAAAAACTAGATGTCCCTGGGTATGGCAAAAAATGTGTAGATACAACAGTAGAGGCACAATCCATGAAAGAAATCACTGGTAAGCCAAACTTCATTAAAATTTAAAACTTCTGCTCCGTGAAAGACAATGTTAAGAAAATGAAAAGCCAAGCGACAGACTAAGAGAAAATATTTGTAACAGAGGCACCTGATAAGAGACTGTTATTCCAAATATACTAAGAACTCTTAAAGCTTAGCAATGAGAAAAACATATGACTGGATTAAAAAAGTGGGCTAACCACCTTGACAGATACCTTGTCAAGGAAGACAGGCAGGTGACAGATAAAGATGAAAAGATGCTCCATGTCATATGTCACCGGGGAAATGCAAATTGAAACAGCAACGAGATATCAACAAAACACCCATTCACGTGGCCCAGATCTGGAACACTGACAACACCAAGTGCTGGCAAGGCTGTGGAGCAACAGGAACTCTCACACATCACTGGCATGAATGCAAAAACGGTACAGCCACTTTGGAAGACAGTTTGGTGGTCTCTTTCCAAACCAAGCATGTTTTTGCCAAACAGTCCTGCAAGCATGCTCCTTGGCATAAGGAATTGAAAACTGTGTCCCCACAAAACCCTGCACATATTAAAGGATTCTATTTATATGAAATGTCCAGAAGAGGCAAACTATAGAAACGGAAAGTGTATTCTTGTTTCTGAGGAAGAACATAAATGACGAGTGAGTGCTCACGGAGAGGTGATGGAAATGTTCTGGAGTCATGTATGGACATAGTTGCACAACCTTGTGGGTGTACTAAAAACAAGACGCACTGAACTGTACATTTAACATAGCGAATTTCGTGCTGTGTGACTTATATTTCAAGAAGAAAATAAGATTAAGTTAAATGAACAACGTAGATAAAGCACAGAGGACATAACAGGGGCTCATGGCGTATTGATTCTTTTTCCTTCCCCTCCCTCCTTGCAGAATGGATGGAGAAATGGGTGGAAAGGTGAGCGGGTAGATAGAGGGAAAGATAAATGGGGGGTAGGGGGACAGCAGGAGGGAGAAAGGAAGGGGAGGAGAGAGAGGAGAAGCAGGGAGGGATGGTACAATGGCATCCATGATAACTCAGCCCTGAGTGTCCAGCACACCGGCAGAAGCAAAAGCCCATGGTGCTGGCTGTATCATCACCCATCCAGTTAGTAGAGAGACTCACACATTAGGCACATGCCCGGGATCATGGAGCAAGTAAGGGGTAGAGGTGGAATCCGAACCCAGGGCTGTCCGACTTCAAAGCCGTTGTCCATTCTGTGGCAGCACAGTGTCTTTGCAAACTGTAAAGCTCGAGACATTTGCCCAGGGGGTGTGAATGGCAGTTAAGCTGGACTGTCTACACTTCCATACACTGGCCAGTCTACACATCCACCTATAAAAGTGCTCTCACCTTTGGATTTGCTGGGCTGTCCATGGAGGCCAGGGTCAGCCTCTCAGGACGCATAATCAGGCTATCCAGACACAGAGCTGAATGACCCCCCCACCACCGTAATTGATAAACTAAAGCTAGCAGAGGGAACAGGAGGTCTCATGCAGCCAGCTTCTGACACAGCTGATTCAAACTCAGGCTTCCCCTTACTTCACCGTGCTGTCTAGGGCTTGTCTAGTTTGCTTATTCAACTGGGGGTAAAAAGAAACAACATTAAAATCAAAATCAGCCTCTCAGAGCCTTACCTTTTCTTTTTAAAAAAAAAATTTTTTTTCAACGTTTATTTATTTTTGGGACAGAGAGAGACAGAGCATGAACGGGGGAGGGGCAGAGAGAGAGGGAGACAGAGAATCGGAAACAGGCTCCAGGCTCTGAGCCATCAGCCCAGAGCCCGACGCGGGGCTCGAACTCACGGACCGCGAGATCGTGACCCGGCTGAAGTCGGACGTCAGAGCCTTACCTTTAAAGAAAACGGGGTTCACCAGGACCATGGCCGTCAGAGGGTCAAGGTCTTGGATTAAGTCTACAACCTTCCCTTTGGTCTCCTTCTCCACATAGCTGTTGATTCTCTTCCGGGTGGTGGAGGTGCTGGAGAAATCTGTAGAAAAGACCTTCGAATCATACAGCCTCTTGACGTCGTCCAAGAAATTTGTCTGTAGCCGCAGCTCCTTTTTGATGAAGAGGAAGCTTCCCATCCTCAAGTCTAGGCCTTTGCTGGGGACACTGAGTGAGTGGAGCAGGTGCTGGAAGGCCCGGTGGATGGCGGATTCCGGCTCGTGTGTGAGGTTGAACCCCAGGCCTTGGAGGATCTGGGTCTTGGTGGCTGAGCGGGCCCCGAGGGAGAGCGTGGCCAGGGAAGCGGAGATACTCAGGGGGGAGAAGAAGACGTTCTGATCCGGAGTCTTCAAAACCAGCCTCCGGTAGAGGCGGAAGGCAAAGTTGGTGTTGCTGGAAGATACCCAGGGGGTAGCGCTGTTCCTTGTGGGGGAAGGGCAGGGGCCACTGGATGGGGGTACACAGTAGACCGGAGCACAGATGCTGACAACCAGGAAAAGTCGATAAAAGGGAGAGGCCATTTTGGGACGAAACAAGTCTGCAAGAGAGGAAAGGACCACCGAGGGAAGGTAAGCCGAGCGTCCAGCCTGGAATCAGAGACCTTGTGACACCCCACCCCCATTCGTGATAGAACCGGGACACACTGGACGGTGAACAAAGCTCTCGCAACCCCCCTGATGCAGATGTTATTGTTGTCCTTGTCTTACAAACCAAGAAACAGGCCTCAGAGAGGTTGTGTGATTTAGGCCACGCAGCTGGGTCGTGTTCTGTCTGGGATTCAAAGCCGGGTCTTAAAGCCACAATCTCAGATCCCACGCGCTTTGCTGTTTCTGCTCCGAAGGCTTATCGTTCAGAAAGTAAGACAGTGAAACCAGATGGTACAGTCCCAATCGTCGCAGCCAGACGCGCCCTCTTACCCCTGAGAGAACCCTCCAGATAGTCTTGGTCCCTTTTGTGAGGACACGATCACAGCTCTCCATGGCTGCCCACCGCCTGCCCCAGGCATCTGCTGGTATGTCCCTCAAAAAGTGGACACCCCGGGGGCGCCTGGGTGGCCCAGTCGGTTAAGCGTCCGACTCCTGATCTCAGCTCAGGTCAGGAGTCTCACGGTCTCACGGTCGTGAGTTCAAGTCCCGCATCGGGCTCTGCGGGGATATTGCAGCATCTGCTTGGATTCTGTCTCTACTTCTCTCTGACCCTCCCCCACTTGTGCTCTCTCTCTCTTTCTCTCTCGCTTTCTCCACTTGATCTTAGCCAAAAGGCCGAGAAGCGATCTCTCTCTCTTTTTCAAAATAAGTGAACTTAAAAAAAAAGTGGAAACCCCAGGCCGGAGGCTGTCCTGGAACCAGAGGCCCGCACAACCCCTGCTATGCCACGTGTCCTCCCGGGGTGCCCCCCCTCGCTCCCAGGGTGTCCCCCAACCCCCCATCTGTGAAGAAGGACGGCTCCGAGGAAGAAGTGAGAGGGTCTGTATAGCACCCAGAGCCGTGTCTGGCCCGCGGAAGGCATGAGGTCAAAGCTGCTTCCCCCCCAACCCTCACCCCGGGTGGCTGCTGTTGTGATTTTGCCCTCCTCACTTGGAAGCAAGGCGAAGGGCAGGCTTGTCCCTGGATCTTCCCGACTGTGGGAAGGGAGGGGGTTGAGGGATGAGAAGGCCAGCCATGCCCAGGGATGAGGCGCCACACAAGAGGCAGGGTGCCGGTGGGGGCGGGGCTCTCGGGGCACCTGCTAAGGCCGAGGATCCACACCCCCATCAGCAGGCATGGCCTTGCCAGAGGAGATTGGTTACGTGTCCCAAGTCCCGGGCTGAGCAGGGGAGACCGGCCTGGCCAGTAGTCCTGCCAGGCAGTCAACTAGTAAATATCTCGGCCCCTCATGGTCCTGACCTTAGGCAAGTGGCTGCTTCTCTCTGAGCCCCAGGGAGGTGGCCTCAAAGGGGTCTGTGGCCATGGGTCTCAAGGGGGAGATCCTTATGCTCTTGAGGAAAAGCTCCACAGAAGCTTGTTCATTCGGCTCTTGAAATCCAACCTCCTTTGACACTTGGCCTCTCCCCCTCCCCCCCGCCGGGGCCCCTCTGGCCCCCCCCCCCCCTGTTCACCTTCTCTCCCCTGCTCAATTCCCCACTTGGCTCCCAGCTTCGGTCACTCAACCACACTGCAGACAGGGGGAGCTTTCTAGCCACAAAGCTCACGTGTCCCTCAGCTACTCAGATTCCTCACTGACCTTGGGAGGAAAGGCCAAGCACCTGTCGTTCGCAGTCCTTCTCTGTTGGGCTCCGACTTACCTCCCCAGCTCATCCTCAAGCACAAAGCTGTTCCAGTTCCCTGGAAAGATGGCATGGCCCTCAGCCCCGCCCCCCTGCCCCGTCCTCATCGGCCTCCTTAGCTAGCTCGACTGTCTGAGGGCTTCATTCCATTGTAAAACCCTACCCTCCCTGTGACGCACACTCCTGGTGAGGCCCCAGACCTGGAAGAGCCCACCCGCCTGCTCCTTCTTTGCCAAATGTTGGACAGACTGTGGCTCAGCAAGGCAGCTTGGTCCGCGGTGAATCCCCAGTCTGCAATTTTTATTTGCCTGGCAGGAGAGCACGGTCACCTCACCCTCCCATGGACTAGAGGGCGCAGCTCAGTCTTTTCCGTTTCCTTACGACGGATTCCTCGCCGTCCACGAATGCACGTGTGCGTGCGCACACACACACGCACACACACACGCACACATGTCAGACCGCCTCGTCTCCTGCGTCCCATGCAGGACCCTCAGAAAAGGAACCTATCTCACTCCTCCCCTCCACCCCTCTCCAAACTTCAGAGAGCATCCGTCTGTCCGTCCCGGGGCCCTCACACCTCTCTCTTCCGTACTTAAAACGCTCCCCCTCAACTACGTCCGTGCCATCGGCCTTTAAACACGTTCCCGGCTGAGACGAATGGCCCCCCGCCATCAGCCCAGTGAACACCTTTCTTCAGCCCCTCATTGCCTTATAGCTGCTGCCCTGTCTCCGTCCTCCCCATCCTGGCCCGAATCCTCACGAGCTGTGATCCGGATCCTGGCCCGGATCCTTCATGGTCCTCACGGTCTCACTTCCGCTCACCCTTGGCCCACTCCAGTCTGGCCTCCGGGTCCACAGAGATGGGACCAGCCTGCAAACACGTCTGGGTTCACCTCAGCTGCCTTCCCGGTAGCATCTGACACTGGAGGCCACCCCCCTCTTCTTATCCAGTCCCTCCCCATGGCTCTGTGACACCACATTCTCCTGCTGTTTGTTTCTCCTCTCCCTCTGTTCCTCCTCCTGAGTCACCTCTGTGCTTTCTGTCTCGAGCCCGGCCTCTGCGGTGTTCTCCACCTCCGCTGATCTCATCACTCCCGGGGCTTCATGACTGAAAAGCAAATTGCGTATTATTTTTAATCCCCAGCCCACACCTTTCCTCTGAACTCCGTATCTCTTTTTTAAGTTTATTTATTTAGTGTGTGTGTGTGTGTGTGTGTGTGTGTGTGAAAGGTGGGGGGAGGGGCAGAGAGAGAATCCCAAACAGGTTTCGTGCTGCCAGCACAGGGCCAGACAGGGTGCCCGAACTCGCGCACTGTGAGATCACGACCCGAGCCAAAACCAAGAGTCAAACACTTAACCAACTGAGCTACCCAGGCGCCCTTAAAGTTTCTTTTAATGTTCATTTATTTATTTTGAGAGAGAGTGGGAGAGAAAGAACACACACGAGCAGGGAAGGGGCAGAGAGAGGAGGAGAGAGAATCCCAATCCTCTGCTAGAGCAGAGCCCGACTCGGGGCTCGAACTCACAAACCGCGAGATCGTGACCTGAGCCGCCGTCGGACGCTTAACCGACGGAGCCACTCAGACGCCCCACGGACTCTGTATTTCTAACCACCTACTTGATACTTTCTCCTGATGTCACAAATGAACCTGAAACTCAGTAAGACCCTAACTGAACTCACACGGTTTCCCAAACCCCGTCTCCCAGTAAAAGTTTCAACTGAGACTTTCTTTGAACATCTCCGTCCACGGCGCTCTCGTTCACCTAGTTATTCAAGCCCAGGGCTCATCTTTGTGTGTCCTTCTTCCTCTTTGTCCACGCCGACACATCGCTTACCTCTTTTCACGTCTTCCAGTAGCCTCCCATTTTCCAGAGCTGGTACCAGTGTCCCATCCAGCCTGCACAACCTGGGATCCACCGGCCCCTCTAACTTCAGTTCGGATGTCAGAGCCCCTTGCTCGGGACTGCTGCGTCCAACCGTTGTACCCATTTTTTTGATCCTCACAGGTGATCTTCGTTGTGCCCTGCTGCCCTCACCAAACTTTCCTTGCCCTCCCCCCACCTCCCATTAATGTCTTTCTACTGTTTAGGTCCTATGTCATGTCATACCCTTAAGGAAGTTCTCTGACACTCAGATGAGGAAAATTCCCCCCTCGAAACGTTTTTACAGCACTATTAATTTTTTAGTGAGATACTTACCATGGCTACAATTTCACATTTCTTTGTGTGATGCAAAATTAAAGGAGTCACAGAGAACTTGTCCCTCTCGTACCTGCTGTACTTCATGGTGTGGCCAGTACAAAGGGCTCAGTTAAGGGTTTGAGGAAGGAATGAATTGAAATAAATTAAGTGTGCAATTTACCTCTGAGAGGTGATACTGCTTGGAAATCAGCGAGAAAGACCCTTGCAGGGTCTTAATTAAGGTGATACTTACATGGCATCCCCATCTATGAAATTGGAGTTGACTTAGATTTTTGGCCAAGACAAAGTAACTGACATTGAACTTGGACAAAAGGGGCGCCTGGGTGGCTCGGTGGGTTAAGCGTCTGACTCTTGATTTCGGCTCAGGCCGTGATCTTCCAGTTCCTGAGATGGAGCCCTGCGTCGGCTCTGAGCTGATAGTATGGAGCCTGCTTGGGATTCTCTCTCTCCCCCTCTCTCTACCTTTTTCCTGCTTGTGCTCTCTCTCTCTCTCAAAAAGAAATAAATAAATAAACTTAAAAAAAAAAGAAAACTGGGGGCACCTGTGTGGCTCAGTCTGTTGAGTGTCCAACTTCGGCTCCCGTCATGAACTCACGATTCATAGGTTCGAGCCCCATGGCAGGCTCTATGCCGACAGCTGAGCCTGGAGCCTGCTTTGGATTCTGTCTCCCTCTCTCTCTGCCCCTCCCCACCTCAAAAATAAATAAACATTACAAAATTTAAAAACATAGAAAATTAGGTAAAATACATGAAATAATCGAGACCCTAAAAAATATGTGAGACAATTCAGACATTGGACAACAGGCAGAGAAGGCAAACAAATGAGGGAAGCCCTGTGATTGTCCCCATATTCTGTCTAAAGACACTTTCCAGATACAAGGAGTTTAGGAAAGCAGAAGCAGCTATGGTTTGTGCAGCAAAAGGGTGCGTTAGCCTCGGCCCGAAGCTAAACACTCAGCGCTGCGTGCGTAAAGTGCAATTCCACCAGGACGGTCCGAAAGCAAAAGCAAATCTCCAAAACCACCGTGAAGATATAGAACAATTTCCAGAGTTCTCATAGCACGGGGAGGGAGGGAGGTTCCGACTGGACACAGTTGTGGGCTGTCAATGAGCACCTAAGGCATTCAGCAGAGACCCTAGAAGCGTCACATCTTGACGTTAGGGCTCAACTAACTTTAGTTTAAAGCCGCTGTAGACACCTTAACACACTTGGTCTGCAATGCAACATTTTATCATGAGAAGATGATAAACCATGATAAGATCCTGGACAGGATTAAACAAACAAACAAACAAAAGTCCTGCGTGTACTTGTGTTGGCCGTTCCAAAACAAGTGTCAACACGTTGTAAAGAGAGACAACAAAATCCAGACCAAAAAGATTATAAGAGAAAATCTAAATGGTTGAAAGAAAAGCTCAGTGAGCTTGAAAACACGTCAACAGGAGCTGTCCAAACTTTAAAGAGAGCAGGCGGGGGGAGGAAAATACCAGAGCCCCAGTGATCTGTGAAATGAAAGCAAGCGGACGAACAGATGGGCAGCTGGAGTCCTAGGCAAGGAGGGGGTGGGAGGGGAAAAGCCTGGAAGAAATAACAGGCAGAAATATTTGTGCCCCTTACTCTACGTAAACGAAGTAAAAAAAGACGAACTACAGTAGAATGAATACGGCCCGGTCATTTCTTCCCCCTGAGCTGTATGGTTGCACTTGACTCTCAGTCTGTCTAGGCTGCTCTCCCCTCCCTCCCCTTCTGACAAGCTGCTTTGCATCCTGCCGGCTCCAGCTCCAAACTTCTCACCCCGCAGAGTCTTCCAGATCCCACAGAAAGTCAGCCCCTCCCTTCGCCCACACCTGGAGCAAACCATTGCAATTTACCTCCTCGGGTGTCTGTCTCCCCGAGTGCACAGTCTGGATGTTGTGTGGCTTCCTCCAGGGCAGGGACCATAATCGGTGAGTGACGGGGAGAGAGGGAGAACAATAAAGGGAGTATAAAGATGGGGGAGGAGGTGGGAGGGCAGTGGGAGGAATGTAGGGAACCCGGAGGGCCAGGCTCTGCTGACTGGCCCACACCCAGGGACTTTTGTAAAGGCCTACAGTTGGTGAGACAGGTTGGCATCCTGAAGGATGGAGTTTCCCAGGCTGGGTTAATTGTCAGGAGAACCTGTGTTCTCATTAAAATGCACATTCCCAGGCCCCGCCTAGAACTACTGAGTCAGACTTTCCAGGGAAAGATGAGCCAACTTAGGAGTGAGGGGCGCTGGGTGCTTCCTTCCCGCACGACTTCCGCTCAGGTTGCAGACAGAATCTCTCTGGGGCTTCTCTGAAGCTCTCAGAGATATTCTTATCTCTGGCTCTGAACACCTCGGGTCCCGGGAAAAGCAAACCCCTGGTTCTCCCCAAATTCACAAGACCAATCCTGCTGCTGGAGAAATGACGCCTCGGATGCAGATCCCACGGGCCCATCCCAGGTCCCATCTAGATGGAGCCTTATCCCAAATCTGTCCACCTCCTCGGGGCCTCTCCTGCTGCGCCCAGGCTGCTCTAGACTCTTCTGTTCCTGGCTGTCAGATCTCCTGCCTACCTCACACATCTTTATGATTCTGCCCCATTTCTGGTTTATATGGATCTTCCCATCACTTTTTAAATTTGGCTATATCTTGGTACTTTTTTCATATATTTTTTAAAGTTTATTTATTTTGAGAGAGAGAGAGATGGCACAAGTAGGGGAGGGGCAGAGAGAGAGAGAGAGAGAGAGAGAGAGAGAGAGAGAATCCCAAGCAGGCTCTGCACTGGCAGCACAGAGCCCCCATGCGGGGCTCCAACTCAGGAACCCGCAAGATCATGAGCTGAGCCGAAACCAAGAGTCGGCTGCTTCACTGACTGAGCCACCCGGGCGCCCCGCATATATTTTTTTAATGTCGCCTATTCCTGCTGGGACCGTGGGGCACATGGGACGCCTGGAGGCTGGAATTTGCCATGTCACGTCAACCAGAAGCTGCTGTTCAGAAGCTCGCCAAGAGGGCGACCCCACAATGTTGTCGGGACCCAACATGACCGAGTGTGGACGTGAGCACCTGTCCCGTGGTGGGGGTGCTCCCCAGAGCCCCCTGCACTCTCTTGCTGCAACCCTGCTCATCCCTTAGCCCGCCCAGAGTGGCCGCGTGAGCCAGGCTGAGGGCGGGGAAGGGGGTAGATCCAGACGGACCCTCAGGCCCTGAGGAGTTTTGTCTAATTGTTCCTTTGTTTTCTGTTGGTTTTGGCAAAGAGGTCACTGTTTCAACATTCCAAGAGACACAGGCTTCCTGTTCCAGGAAGGATCTTCACCCTGCCGGGACTCTTTCCCAGCCCAGTCTTGGAATCTGGGATTCCTTCGTTGGCATCCCACCAAGAGAAACCAACCGAAAGGTTACCTGTGCTGGAAGGTTACCTTGAGAGACACCCACCCAGTAGCCTTCCTCCCTGGCTCTGGATGCCTTTACCAGGCGTCACTAATGCGGATGGGTGCCTACTGTGTGCAAAGTAGGTTCATATACATTACATTATGTAACCCCCTCCCCTGCCCAAATATCCTCTGAGATGAATATGATGATCCCCGCTTCACAGAGAGGAAAAACCAAGGATTGGGCACAATTAAGTGCCTTGCCTAATATCACGAACCAAATACACGGCAGAGCTGGGATTCGAACTTCAGTCTGTCCGACTCCGGGACCTCCCGCCCACCTCCAGCCACTTGAAGCCCCTGACAAAGTCCCTGAAATGGAAGACGGCCGCACCAGGCATCATGGCGTCCTGGGATGTATAGATGATGTATATACGTTTCTATAGATGATGCCTATCATCTATAGAAAACCAGATATTATTTTTTCTGTTCGAACCGATTGCTTTCTTTTTAACGTACGCTGATTTAAAGATCCATCTTGAGTAAAGAGTAGCACAAAAGAGGTGTGGATTCAGCCGCAATATCAAGAGCGGCTTGGGACTGAAACTAAAAGAGGAAATTGAGTGGAAATAGTGAGCATGTTTCCCAAAGAGAAGGGAGTCCCGGCCTCACACTCCTACTGTCGCCCCTGAGCACTGATGTGACCCAGCTGGGCCTGAATGGGAGGAAGCAGGGCCACGGGTCCCTAAGCTCTCATCCGGCTTCTCCACGCCTGGGACCACGCCTGGCACACTTAATGCTTGTTAAGTATTTGCTGGCTAAATGAACGCATGGCAGTGAAACTTTGGAGCAGGCTCTTTCATCTCCAAGAGGAATGTCAAAGTGTTGTTGGAGACAGGAGGGTTTTTGGAGATCATCCGGGGCCACCCCGTCATCGCAAAGGTGGGACACTGATGGGGGCACTTCCCTTCTTGGCTGGGGCTGTAACCCTGCTCCTATCGTCAGGTACGCTCCTGGCGGGCATCCCTGGGGCCAGAAGTCTCCGGAAGCTGATCGTGCCACAGAAGCCGTGGAGAGCAGAACCACAGAATCTACTGTCTGAGCAGTAGGTGTCCTCTTCTCAGGGAGGCCGAGCTGACCCCCGCCAGCCCCACCGGCACCTCGACCACCCTCACCTGTCTTCTTCATTTATTAACCCTATTGTTTATCGTATGCCTCTGTCTGCTAGCTTGGAACCCTTGGGGGGGCAAGACACTTTGTATGTTTTGTCCACTGATGCGTTTCAAGCCCGTAGAACGGTCCCTGCACAGGACGGACACACAGAAAATATTTGCTGGGGGGGGGGGGTGGACGAAGAAAAACTGAAATGCTCAGGGGACTTGCATTTAGTTCCAGATCTGTGGCTTTCCAGCTGTGGGAACTTGGGCAAGTTACGTGGTCTTCCTGAGCCTCGGTTTTCTCATCCGTAGAATGGAACCGTCGCCCAGCTTGAAGGGTTGGCGGGTCGGTTTCTTGGTGGAAAAACCGACACGATGCCAGTCCCGCGGGAGGCAGGTAGTCAGTGTTGGTTGCTTCAAAGGCGAATTTACTCACTTATTCATCCGTGGGGTCAGTCCATCCACAAACAGGTGGCCTGTGAAGGTGTTCTAGCAGAAGTAGGCGTGGATCTTTCTGGAAGCGGGAGTAACACACTGAAAGAAGCTGGTGGGTGTAGCAGAGAATGGGGAGCAAGAGCAGGGTGGGGTGGAGTGAGCAGGTGCAGGGAGGCGGCAATCCCCAGGGGGAGAAGCAGGCAAGGCCAATCTCCCCAGGCGGTGGCCTTCCGTCCCAGAGGAGTGGGGAGCTCTGGAGGGGGGCTGGCTGCGTCCGGAGCAAGGGGACTGCTGTGCCAGTCTTTCATTGCAGCAAACACAGACATGGCCCAGGCAATGGGGCCGAGGGACGCCCCAGTCTGCAGCCAGAGGGACACTTATAAACACATGTGTTTGCCCAAGACACCCTCCAGCTCAGCACCGGTGACAGCTCACCGTGGTTCTTGGACTAAAGATCAGCGTTCTCCCTGTAGCCCCCGAGGCCCCAGGCTCACTCACTGCCCACCTCCTCCTGCTTTATTTTGTTGTTCTGGCCACATTAATCCCGTTTCAGTTCCTCATCCCTGCCGCTTGCCTGCCCCAGGTCCTCTGCACCTGCTGTTTCCCCTGCTTGGCGGAATCTGTCTGTGTTCCCACTCCAAGCTCTTCCTCTTTCTTTCCCCCACGATAGGATTTATTTCTGTCGTGCAGAGCAAAAGTATGTCTGTGAAGGTGGGACATCGTCTGAAAAGTGTTTAAGACGTGCAACAGTCCTTTGACAATAAAGTTGGTCAGAGGGAAGACCAGTGAGCACTGGAGCTTGTGCTCAACTTCTATCTGGAAGCCCAGCCAGCATTTTCTAGATCGCTAACCACACTGAGGCAATCATACCTGTGTGCGGGTTTAACTGTGGCGACTCAAGAACAGATAAGCTCCCAGCCTTTGGAGCTTTCTCAGCCTTCTCGGAGCCCCCAGACCGGGTCGGACCCCCGTTACCTACCTTGGAAGGCCCCCAGGGTTGTCTTTCTTTTCATGCTCACCGGAGCTCGTGATCAGAAATGCACGTGTGTGTGTCTGCAACTCACGGCTGTTTCTCCCGCTGGATAGTAATGTCACGGAGGCAGGGGCCAGGTCTGTTTGTAACGGCCACCCGTGCACAGGCTGTCGCCCCATAATTCGCTGCTTAATAATGCAGGATTGATTGCAGCCCGCGTGGGGGTGGAGGGGAAATTCAGACCCAGGAGCCATGGAGGTGAGTGCTTTATTGAGACGCTGCTTGGAAGATGCCGGAAAGGTAGGGACGGTCTCATAGAGATATCCTAATGGACTGGGCGCTGGAGGACGAGCAGGAGCTCGTTAGGCAGGATGAGGGCATTCCCAGTAGAGGGGAATGCCAAGGCAAGGGCCCGGAGCACTGAATTTTGGAAAAGAGCTCGTCATCTCAGACGCTTGGGGGACGGTGAGAGGAGAGCTTAACAGGGGCCACTGCTGAATGCCTGCCATGTGCCGGGCATGGATTGCATGTCATGCCTTGTAACCCTCAGAGCTCCTCAGCCCCAGGACCTAGGTATTATTACACGTGTTTTAGTAAAGTAAATGAGGTTCAGGGGGGTTAAGTGACATGTCCAAGCCACCCAGCTACTATGTGGCTTGTCTGACTGTCCCTTGTCCCCAGTGGATAATGTCGCAGACCTGAGCCGACCACTGAGGGTTCCCTTGTGTATCTGGTGTCTTCCCACCACCCCCCCCCCCACCTCCCTCAGGCTGGTGCAGGGGAAATGGTGACCATCAACAGTGTGCTCTGCAGGGATTCCCTGCTTTTTGCCCCATGTCTGTGTCACTGGCACAGGGTCTCAGCCTTCTCTGGTTCCCACCCTCTCAAAGAGGAATGTTTACTCCGGTGCCCCCCCATCTTAGCCCTCACCACACTGTAAAGTAGCCCAATCCTTCTCCAGACGACCTCCTCCGCCAGCCCATGTGTGGGCGGGGTCTCCAGGGCCCTGGGGGTGCCCAGGACGGAAGAGAGGGCGCCTGTTGGATACACCCATGCTGAAGTGGACTGGGCAGCTCTCTTAGCTGGGAGAGGAGCTCAGGAGTGGCTAGCTAGGCCCCCAAGTCCACGTGGAACCCCTCCCTGCCCTGGCCCAGAAGACAAGTGCTTGCGGCCCACGGCAAACCACAAGGCCGT